TGCTGCTGCTGCTGCTGCTGCTGCTGATCCAGCTGCTGTTTCTGCTGGTGCTGCTGCTGCTGCTGCTCCATCTACTGCTGCTGCCGACGCAGCAGCACCCGGGGCGCTGGCGGCGTTGCTGTTGGGTATTGCATCAGCAGCAGCAGCAGAAGCTCCCCCCTGCAGCCGTTCTATGAGCTCTGACTGCAGCATCAAACCGAAACCCTAAACCCTAAACCCTAAACCCTCCACCCCAAACCCTAAATCTAAGAATACGAAACCACTGACCGCAACCGGCAACAAGTACACCCAGAGGCTACTCAACAACAGTGTAGACATGCAGGTGTACGTACACCTGGCGGTGCCTATTGCATATACAGATGTAAGATGCATGCAGGAGATGAAGGATCTGCCGGCGTTGCCCACACTCGGTGAACACACCGAGAAGATACACGGGGGGGGTGAGCATACACCCCAGCATCTGCAGAGCAGGCCTTGAAAGAGCATCTGTTTAATGTGGTGTTTCTTACCTTCTTTCCTGTGGTCGGGAGGCCCCTCTCTGCGAGCAGATTCCGCAGGTCTGCCACTTTCATGCTGTTGAAATCGGGGGGGGATGACTGCGCCATTTTGGCCTCCCGTTGTTTTTTTTTTGACTCAGATGATTTAAAAACAAAAATAATGAACTTTGATGAATTTCCGCAAAAAATCCATGCAGGTTTCGCGGAGAACAGATACTAAACACCAAGCGTATGCTGGGGTGTATAGGCAGCTGCACCTTGACGCTCCACCGCGGGAACTTTATAAAATATTTATTTTTATGAATATTTTACCAAATAAAAGTCAGAAAAACACCTTTTTATACACAAAGAGCAAATTCAGCCCCTCAGAAGACCTAAAACCACCACACTGGGGGCCCCCCAATAGCAGTAGCAGCACGTCGCTTCATACCGTCTGCTGCAGTAGTTTCACTTGCCTGTGCATATTGAATAAATAAATAAATTAATTTAAAAAAAATAAATTTAATATTCCCGTAAATATCCCTTTTTGTTGCTCTTACAGCTCCTCGGTTTTGTTGCAATTGAAGCCATTCATACAAATTCTGCAGAAGTTGAATTTTTCTTGTTTCTGCTGTCGAGCTCTGAAACAGAGTAATATATATATTTGCATATATATATACTTATTTGTATACTTTCTCATACATACACGTATGCAAATATA